ATCCACGCATAGGTAAAAACAAGATCTACAACTTTCATTTAGACTCTGTCGGCTAATTCTAGACTGATCTTAAATTTAACAGTATGATGAGATTATACTGTTAAATGTCCGCGTAAAATTCATAACTTCTACATACGGACTTCGTTTTTGTCTGTCTTTTTACGGTTGAGTTCCTATTAATGAGATCTTCAATTCTCATTTAGGTCGCGTAGGCCAAAAACCGCTCGATCTAAAACTCGAGTTTCGGGCTGTGCACTGCTAAGCCAAATCTTAGAAAATTCATAACTTCCTCATACGAAGTCAGATTTCGGCGTTCTTTTTATGGATGCTCTCGGTTTAACATATTCTACGACTTTAGTTTCGATTACTAAGGCCAAAAGGTCCTCTATCGTAAATTCACTTTTTATGTTTCCCGGTGTCATGTCGGTTTTGCCGCGAAACTTCGACAGGCCATAATTTCTTCGTTATAACTCGGATTTCGGCGTTCCTTATATATCCGGAATCCTTGTTTCGACCATTACAACTTTATTCAAATATATCGGGTTTATCTCACACTTTAATTTTGACGCTTATTTTTATTCTTTATTTATTATACATTTATAATTAAGTATAAAGCACATAAATTCACATAATTCACATAATAATCAAATAATTAATCTTTATTACTTCAAAAAGAGTTACAGCAGTTGACCTACACTATTACATCATCTACAAATGCTTAGCCCCGAAACACGGGCGTTACACGTTTCTGGCTAAGCTTTATTATGATGATGTAATAGTTAGGGTCAACAATTGTAACCTATTTTCAAGTAATGAAGATGAATTATTTGAGTATTATGTGATTTATGTGCAATATACGTGCTTATAATGATATAATAAAATAATAATAAAAATATGCATAAAAAAAATAATAGATAGACCCAATATTTATGAAGAAAGTCGAATTAGTCGTGACAAGGATTCCGGGGATATAAGGAACGTTGAAATCCGACTTATAACAAAGAAGTTATGACCTGTCGAAGTTTTACGACTAAACCGGCATGGCATCACGTATCGTAAAAAGTGAAATTTTGATAAACTACTTTTTAGCCTTAGCAATCTAAACGAACGTCATAGTGTAAGTTAAACCGAGAAGGTACATAGAAAGAACGTCCAAATCTGACTTCGTTTGAGGAAGTTATGATTTTTTTTAAGATTTAGCCTAGTAGCGTACAGCTCGAAAATCGAATTTTAGATCGATCGATTTTTAGTCGACACAAACTAAACGAGAATTGAAGATCTCGTTAATAGGAGCTCAACGATATAAAGACAACCAAAAACAGTCGTCGGATGACGAAGTTATGAATTTTTAACGGAATTTAACTGTCTAAGTCTGTTAAAATATAACTTTAAAAATAATTTCAAAATTAGCCGACGGAGTCTAAACGAAAGTTATATATCACGTAGATATAAGGAACGTCAAAACGGAGCTAGTATGAGAAAGTTACGGATTTTAGAAGATAGTTAACTTTTCTATTATGTTCTGGAGGTGACACATGGCACCATCTCAGCCACTCCTTCTTCCCCACGGCTTCGCACGCGATCACAACACCTAGCACTTCAACACTCCGTGTTCAACCCAAAAACACTCCGTGTTGCACCAATTCACAACCTATAAATAGAGGCGCAAATCATCCCATTTCTTCACACTTTTTCTCAACTTCTCTCCTAAATACCCTCAAACCCTCTCCCCCTTTCCCTAGCACTTCCTAAGTGTTAGAGGCGAGTCCCGGAGCGCCAGAAGGCCCCGAGAAGAAGAGCTTTCGGCTCAGAAGTTCTGCCCGCGCAGAGCCTGGTTCCTCGCTAAACCCCATTGTAAGTAAGTTATTCTTACCCTACTTCAAGTATAACTTATGATTAAGTTCATTATTGTTATTATGAACCTATAAAAAAGATTTATCATTGATTCAAAGTCGTTATACTGATTGATCTACTTATGGGGATGATGTCTAGGCTGTGATTTAGTGAAATATTTAAAGTGGGATTTCCAAACAGTATACTTTGTATACCAAACGGACCCTACCTCCGATATAATCCTATCTGGTTGTTCCTTACTTGATAGATCATGAAAGTAGACTTTGAGTTAATGATGAATCTAGACTAATAATTAGTCGCAATAAATATTAGACTAAACTTAGTGATAATAGTACTCGTTTTTGTCGAAGGAAAAAAAATTTGTTAGAAGCGAAGCGCTGCCCGAATTTCGAGTCATCACTTTAACAAGTGAGTTCATAGTTACTTTCATCTTACACATATATATGAAGTATTTAATACAAATTACATGTTATACGTGTATATTATATGTGTTCTTGACATTTATGCTTGGGAAAAGATGGGTAGATGAAGTAGATGATGTACGATGAAATAAAATGATGAGAGACCTCGATGTTGAAAGCTGACCCAGTCATCTAGAGGGGTATAGATAACGACCACAGACTATTCTAGATAGTATAGTGGAATGCTAGCAGGCTCACAACCTGTAGGTGTTTGTGAATGATGATGATCCTTAGGATGTACTCCATCCCCTCATGGTTGCCTTACAGATATATATTGATGAGGAATCCCTTAAGTAGTATTGTCTATCCCGATGATGATCCTTAGGATAGGTCCCTTAATTTAGATACTTTAGGGACATGAAGTGAGGATAACGGGAACGGGTAATTGGGTTGAATGATTTGATGAAATTAAAGAACTTAATTATTGTGGGTTGAAAACCTTATGTGCTCACCAGGCTCCGAAGCCTGACTCACTCAGTTTCTTGTATTATAGGTAGTGGCGAAAGAGCACATGACTGATGATCTGATGAGAGATCTATGGATTATAGGTCATTAGAATAATAGATGTTTGTAAGGCCTATACTATTTCTGTTTATTCTTATGTACCGTATTGACAATGAAATCCCAACGTTTTTAATATAATTAAACACATTTCTTCAGAAATGCTTTGATAAAATCTTTATCATATTTTTGGGAACAATTTCCGCAACATTATTCCTCAAAAGGATACTCTGATTTTAAAATAAAGTATAAACAAATCGGTCTTTTCTTGCTGTGAAATTGGGGATGTCACAATGTTGGCTTCAAATATGGTTACAAACTCGGATTCTGGGGTTAGCCTCACTTAAATACCCCATAACTTCCATAATTGGCTCTCAAAGTATCACAAAATGACTCCTAGACCCATATACATGATCAATGTTCATTTTATTACACTTTGGCCCTCAAAATATAACTTTAAACAATTGAAAAAGTTAGTTTAAGAATAAAACTTAACGGAATACTAACATCGGTGATGGATAGAAAATCGGGTCGTTACAAGTTATAAATTTGAAATTGTATCACAGTCTCACGAGTATGCTACAATATCTTACTTTTACTTATCTAGATCTTACGTAAGTTATCTAATAGATTTGATTTTTATGTATGATCCCTATAAGCCACACTTCTCGGTTCTCAAGAGAATTATTCGTTATATATGTGGCCTCACAAACTATGGTTTATAAATTTATGTATATTTGTTATAGGGACTTATAACTTACTCTGATGCTGACTGGGCTGGTAGCCCCAATACCATACACTCCACATCAGGTTATTTTGTATTTTTGGGTTAAAATTTACAGTCTTTGTGTTCGCAGCAACAACAAACAATTTTTAGATATAGTGTCGAGACTGAATGTCGTGGTGTTGCGAATGTTGTCATTGAAACAAATTGGCTAAGAAATCTTTTACGAGAATTTCATCGACCGCTTGTCAAAGACACTATTGTCTATTGTGACAACGTGAGTGTTATGTACTTGTCTAACATCTTGGTTCAATATTAGATGACAAAAAAAAGTTTGTGATCGACATCCACTTTACTAGGGTCTTCGTTCCATGTTATTTCTCAGTTTTCGATCTAGTCCCAACGTTCAGACTCATCCTCTCGTTCAGACTATAAGGGGCTGATAGTGTATATTTATTTATGCTTTGTACTCCCGACCCACTTGTCAGTCCTACCCGATGTATACATTGTAATTTTCCTTTTCATAAATAGAAAACGATAATGAGAAGTGGATATTGGAGGGAACATAATTAGTTAACAGTAGATATCATCAAAGAGACTAAATTTATAGCATTTATATGACATTTTAACATGTATAGGTTAAATTTACTACCGTTTACTTTTAGATTGACTCATTTTGTATCATGCATTCTCACTCATGTACATTTTACATTAAATTTGTTTTATATTCTAACTAGGTTATAACGCGTGTGGTATATGATAGACAATAATAAAGTTTAAATTACAAAAAAAACATTTATTTAACGACAAATTGCAAACAAATATTTATATATATAGTATGTCTATTGGTAAGCATATAATGTATGTACAAATAATATTTTAAATGTATATAAATTTTAAATAATGTTCAATCCGGTGCCAAAATGATGACTAGTAAAAGTTTTAGGTCGTACAAACTATAAATTACATTGCCGAATTTCAAATGTAATGGGATTTGAATTTAAATAAGTTTAGCAAGTTTGATTTTGCTTAAAATTAGATGATTTGAAATTTGAGAGGCAAACAAAATAGACTTAGAAAAAGATGTCTTGTATAGGACATATTGTTTAATAGAGTGAAAAGTGGCGATTTTAGATTTTGTTTATTATAAAAGATAGAAGATAAATGATTATAAAAATGAAACCAAATCTTGGTCTTAGCAAAATCTATTAAAGGATCGAATCAAACGAAGATTGATTTATATATTTGAATTATACGATTTTATTTTATTTTTGTTATACAAATGTGTTTCCTTTTTGTAGGTCCCACTCGAATTCTAGAACTGTGTATTTAATAAAACCATGTATTTAAATAACTACAGTTTGGTATAGTTTTATCTAATTTGTTCGATATTGGGTATGGTACATATAAAAACAAACTATAAATTATAAAAATAGGAATATAATGTGAAAATAAATTATATTCTAGATAATTGAAATTATATATAGAGATATACGGTACAGATGAATAAAAAATAAAGTGAGGCAAGCATCGATCAAACTTTAGAGGCATGAGTTTATTGGAGTTCGCATAAGTCACACGAAATCATCAAATGATCTTTATTTGATTTGTACCAATGATAATCACAGTTCAATCCAAATGATCATGTGGCCTAATTGACATGAAAATGGCAGCATACTGCCTAAGCATACGGTCACTGCCATTATTCTCTGCACTTATAATAGCCATCACCGGCCTCATCCTCGCCATATACCTCCTCCACCCAAGCTGGATATTTACTGCCGCCCATGTCCTCCAGTTCGAGGAGTAATATCTCACTGTACGCTTCAGCCTCTCGTTTGCAAATTTGTACCGAAAATGGTCTGTAACATACTGAAGATGGTTGGCATCCAACCCAAATGCATGTGTAGCTTCTAAACACGTAAATGTAGCCGACGATGATGGAAGCCTGTTTATCAATGGTCTCCGAAGGCACCATGATAGAAGCTCATCGCCGAAGTAGCCTCCAGGGTCCAGGATGCTTGTGGCTACAACTCCTTTACTTAGGTTTTGGTAGCTTTTTACACGCCCTTGAACAATGAACACCATTCGTTGCACTAGATCCCCTTCCCTGATGATCTATTGATAGAAAAAAATATGTAAAGTTTTTTCAAAAGATCAAAGATTTGAGCGAAAGATCTCCGGCATAAGAACCGAGTGCCCACAAGGAGCTCAATCAACACGAGAAATGACAACACTGGCTTTGCAGTGGTGAGACTCGAACTTCTTAACCATTTCTACAATATACATGGCCACCACAAATCAAAGTGTGCCTTAGAGTACAAATGAAAAAAGATTTTCTTGTAGGCTATAAGGTATTAATAACCCCATGTGGTGAAATTGCAGAAATCTCAGGCTCATACAATACGTACCCTGCAAAACAGGTGGAAAGGACCAAAAAAGTGGTGGCCAAGAGTAGAACCAAGGCAACTCTTTTGGAGTGTGTTAACTACTCCTATCTTCTTCACCAATAAGCCACCCTTAATATGCAAAATTTATGAAAAAACGATAAAAAAAGATTTGCGCTTTGTGGTACCTTTTCATCTTTTGAAAACACAAGCGGCTTAACACGATCGCAGATGTTATCAAGAATAAGATCTTCCAAGTTATGGAACAATGGTACCTGAAACATGCATTGATGAGAATTGAAAATTGACTAACTTAAGGATCTAGACAGATGTGGTCTTTAAAAGGCCTAAATTTACCATTCGGATTAGATCAATACACAAAAACCGTTTAATATCTCGTCTGAGGCCTTCTGGGAACTCTTTAATCAATTCCATCTCATCTTCTCCACCCATCAAAACCCAATTTTGAAGTTCATAATGGCGAACTCTATGTCTAAGACGCGATGGCAATTGTCTCCTTTTCATCCACCACTCCATATCTCGGCATCTCAGTTGCATTTTCTTCTTCCTCGCCATAACAGCATGCAGAAACACCTATGGCAATCATAATCATTAGAAACAACCTTTTTTTCTACATTGCAACCAGCATCACCAAATAAACTCTGTTAAACTTTTCACCTGAATATTACCAATCAATAAGGTGAATAGCATCAAGCCACTCAGCACGATGCAAATACTGAAGATCACTTCGACCCAGTGACTAGTGGGCTCAAGATCATTCCCGAAAGTGCTGAAATCAAAGTGTAATATGATCACATATTTGAGACCAGCAGCGAAGAATTACATCAAGTTATAGTTTATTTACCTGAGACTCATTAAACCCCAAAAGATAGGATAAAGAATTTTTATCCTTAGCGAGTTGCTAGAGATCACAGGAAGCGCCCACTGATAGATACCATAATGGTATGGTCCATTCGTATCTAAACACAATGGCATTCTCACAGCATGCATGGTGAAGTTTCTATTGCATGGATTTCCTGAGGTTCCTGAAAACTGGTAGCAAATCTCCTCGGCGCACGAAAGGGTAAGATCGCATGAGTTTTTGTTTTCACATTGTTGTCTAAGACACAAAACCACTCGTTGTATTGCCAAAACGTACCAACAGCCCCCGGCAACCTGTTGTCCACCAAAAACCACTGTAATCATGCAGACTATTAATGGAATAAATTAAAGGAACTTATATCATTAATTCTTACATGAGAGGCAATAAAAATAAGTGATTAGATTAAGGGCGAAACCCCACCAAATGGTGCCGAAGATGTAGCCGGTGACCTTTGCCATCCGTCTCATTAAGTAGATGGAGTGGTAGACTTTGGGGAGGAACTGGAGCATGAAAACTAGCAGAAGGGTGGTCATGATCGTTTTTATTCGCTCTTCTTGGATAAGTTTCGGAAGTACCAACAAGAACACAACCTTGAAACAAAATTGAAATCAAGTGTATAATGATTCATTTTAAGTGTATTTATGGCATACATTGTTTTGGATTATACTCATTTATCCGAATACAAGATTCAAACTCATGTATGTACAATTTGAGATGGTGAGATGGTGTGTAGGAAGACAAAGAACGATAAGAAAAGAATGGGGAGATTTTATAAGATTCTTAGGTACAAGAATCTTTTAGCTTATGCATATATTTTTAATATATTAATAGTATAAGAAAAGTAATAGAATAAACAATAAATTAATTTATTAGAAAAAATATTTAAGAGAAAAATAGTCTTTTATGTATAGAGGGATAAAACACAATAAAAACTTAAAATAAAATAAAATAAAAAAATAAAAAAAAATTCTATATAAAATTAAAATAAAAAATAAAGACCAAATAAAGGCCAAATAGCAAATACGTATATTACCGTGAACCACAACAACTATTTCTATAAGTTTATTCTTATGTCCACTTGACGGCAATTTATGACAAAAACTTGCATCATTTTGTCTATTAAAAAGTTCAACTCAAAATAAATGTGATATCAGTCTTACTGATTAATTAATTAACATATTTACGTTATCGTTATATTACTTTGGCGAATATCCGTACATTAGTAAAAGTAATGCTTATCGTAGAGCTTAGTGTCACTTATGTTGCAAGTGGGTCTTTCATGTTATGGAATAATAACTAATATACTAAACTTAATACATGATTTAAAAAATTTTCATTATTTTGAACTCTAAAATTAAAAAGATATATAATAAAACCACATAATTAGACCCTACGGTGCACCATATACCGCACATCACGGTATCTAAGTTGGCACCGCGGCGTGCGGGAAACACTCAACCGACTCTGAAAGAAAACTACTGTATGTCTGCCGCACGAGATGCTCTCACTATAGCGATTATCCTTTTTTTACGATTGGAATTGTCTTTTTAGGATGATAACATTTTTTCCCCTATATATATTTTTTTAAAAATCCTATAAATTAACACTCATTTCTCATTTTAGAATCTCTCAACAAACACAAAACTCTTTCTATACTTTACAAAAAAATTATTTCAAAATGTCTTCATTTTCGTCTATTTCATCCGAGAGAAAGTATACGACAGAGTTGGACACAACAACATTCGCACTGATTTGATTGAACACATCTTCAGTGGTCGAACGAATCCCGTTGTCGACGATTTTGTTAAAGATGATTTGTTCGAGATGACGAAGCATAAACGTTTGAAGGTGATTCGGGTGAGAATTATGATGACGTAGCGAGCGATGATGATTAGATGTCACATATTATTCAATTATCTTTCGATTATTTTTTTTTAATTTAGTATGTATTTTGTTTAATTAACGAATTATTTTCCTTTTTATTAATTGTATATAATTACATTTTATTCAATTAGATAGCTAATTTTGTTAGACCCTTCGGTGCGCCCGATATCACATATCGCGGTATGTGATGTGGCACTGCGGTGTGCGGTAAACATCACACCGACTCGTCATGTTCCACCACGGTAAACATGTCGCACGTTATGGTTTCATCGCACGGTATTACCCTCGATGGTAGTACTTTGTGCATAAAAATATATATTGTGGTAGGCCTGGTAAGGTATGTTATAAGACCCATCAGTTTTGTGCTGTGAAAAAAAATATAATGTGGAGATTAAAACTATGGTAAGGTACGCAACGTATGTTAGGACACGCACCAGTCTTAATGGTAGAATATTTTCTCAATTCTTTCTATTTTTTTCAAAACATTAATCACAACTATTTTATATTATCAATATAATACATTTCACATTAGTTAAGGATTCTTTTCTTTTCTTTTCTTTTCTTTTTTATTTTTATTTTTAATAATCTTTTTTGTTTGGTGAATGGTACTTAACTTACGATATACAGTAAAACACTGTGTTATGTTATTTGCGTTAAATATCACGATGCAGCGACGAAACTAATATATAGTCAGGGGCAACACGTGCTACCCATTATTTTCTTCCCACAAAGTCATAAAAATGCTTGACTTTTTTATTATAAATATATAGTGCATCAGCTAAATACTAAATGAATTAATAATTAGCCCGTTTAATCCTAAATGAATTAAACCCGAAGGAGTGGTATGTAGTTTGGCCGCACCAAGTGCCACATAGGTATGGGAACAACACCCCCCCCCCCCCTAATGTGGTCTTGGGTGCAGTTTGGCCGCACATCTCCCCATTTCTACCACGTTTTTTGATTGGATGACCATAAATTGATCGTTTTAAGGATCAAAAAATTCAAAATTTTTTTTTTATTATTTTATCTATTTATTACGTAACACCATCGTTTCTACACGTTTAACCTTGTGGTGTTAATTTATGGCACTTTCGTCCAAACGCCAAGAGTTTGGCATAGGACGCTCAACGTTCAAAGGTTAGGCGTTCTATGGTGGATGCCAGAAGTTTGCACGCAGAGACGAAATCCTAATTTTTAGGGTTTGCATCCTATTTAAGGATCATTATGACCTCAAAACCCTTCACCACTCCAACATCCATCCTCATTCGAAAACCCTAAGTGTGTATGAGAGTTTGAAGCCTTGTGAATCTTTTTGGTATCATTTTAGTGTTCTTGATAGATAAGGAATATCATTGGAGTGTTGGTGTTGCTCTCAAGCTTGTGGATCTGGACTCTTGGCATCTTGGAGCATCATTTTATGGTATAAAGTTCTGAACTTGATCATCATATCTTTAGATCTTGTTTATGCTAGAAGTTTATGCATATTAGCCACATTTTCTTGGTCTTTTTGGGTAGGAGTTACCTTAGACCAAATGAGTTGTCCTTTTGGACGTTTTAGGGTAGATGATAAAAGTGTAATCTTGGAACTTCCTTTCACTCCATGCAAGTTTTGAAGTGTCTTAATGGGTTAAAGAGTTGGAGTTTTAGCTTTTGGGCTCATTGTAACCATGCATGGCCATAAAGTTTGCAACTTTATGGCTTTAGACGTACCATTATGATTGGATCTGAAGTTTTAACTAATATCTTAAGCCATTAAGTCATTGGTTTGGAAGTTGGTGAACAGCGAGCAAACGCCAGGCATTTGCATGTGAGCACTCAACGTTCGGACGCCATGCGTTGTAGGAAGGAACGCTAGACGTTCTGTGAAGAAGCCCAATGGGTCGATTTTGGGCCTTGGTCCATTAGGGATTTTGGGCTTTGGACTACCATGTTGGGCTTCCTTGGATTTTAGGCCCATGATGGGTTCGGGCCCAATTTGGAAGAATAGGCCATATATATTGGGCTTTAGGATTTGGGCCTTTGTATGGTTGAGTTGGGCCTTGGTTTTGGGCCAAGTTAGATAAAGGGTAAATTGGTTTTTTACCTTATCTTAGACTCTTAGATATGGTTCAGAATCTAATTATTAATTGGATGTGTTTATGATGACAGCGCGGGGATTTGTCGGACCAACAGACAGAAATTTATCTTGGTGATTCAGTAGTTAGAGGTGAATTTACTCACTGTGTTTAGCGGGTCAAACGCACCAATGTCGACCCATGGTTTAGTATGTTAGGATGCTAGATATGTGACTCTTGCATGTGTTATGTGATGGTATGCTTACCGGGCAAGGCCCAATTCCAGGCGGGGCTCGATGACTGTATTGTATGTTATTGTCTTTATGATTATCGCATGTGTTCGTATGATTATATGTTTATATGTATACTGGGTGGGGATCGATGCAAGGCAGGGCCTGATAATTGATAGATCTGTATACAGACCGGGGCTTGAAACATGGTGGGACCTGATGCCGAGCGAGGCCCGATGAAGGACGGGGGCCCAGTATATGATTATTATGTATGATATGTGATATTTTGGGGAACCCACTAAGCTTTATGTTTACGATTTTCAGTTTATGTTTCAGGTACTTCTGGTTCGAAAGGGAAGAGTTCGAGATGATTATAGAGCACACATCACCTTATTCTGCATTTTTGTGATTTACTCTGATATTTTATGATGTTTTGATACACTTTGATCTATCTTGGTTTTATGAAGATGTTTTGGATTACGGTTTTCTTAATTTAAAAATGAAAATGGTCTTCTTTTTTTGGATGTTACATATTACCTATATATAACCCTTCCTTTTTACCAAACTTCACTTAACTTCCTTCATCTTTTACCATTTTTTCTTAAAAAAGTTTTAGACAACCCAAGACATTCATATGATCAACCGATTTATTCGTCCCCGTTTCATGTGTTTTTTTAAAGGTTGTAGGTTTAAGTCATGTTATGTTTTTTTATATAATGTAATGTAATGGATTTTAATTTCGAATTAATGAAATGTTATGTTTTTTTAACAAAATTAAAAGTTTTTATTTAAATTAAATTGTTAAAAAAAGTGTGGCATCACTCCTTTAGTGTGGCAAAAAACCATACCTTTATGGTAAAAACCGACGAGTCTCTTACGTGACAGTGAAAGAAGTACGATTTTTATGACATCACTCACTTTAGTCTTATTAGCCACAAGGCCCATTGTACCCTTTTCCTTTTATTTATATTATGTATGTCATATAATCAAATCCCTCAATACATAATAATTTTATTGAGATATATCATATACATTAAATATGTTAAGTACTATAAAATTTTATTTAATTTCATACCTCATTTTATAGCTAAGGAAACAATCAAACAAATAATCAAAAAACTGAAATAAATAAATAAAATATTAATTAATATAGGTGAACCAAACCAAACTTGGTTAACCCAAAAATCATTTAACCCAAAGTTAATACGGTTCGCTTTGGTGGCCACACCAAACCGTAAAAACATCGTTTTCTTTAGGGTGAGTGCGATGCGGTTATTAACCAAAACCTCACCAGTAACCGTAAATGCGGTTAATCCATTTTCAAAACCGTTTGGTGCGGTTATTTTTGCGGTGTGTTAGGCGGTTATTTTTGTGGTGCGGTTTTGTTTTGTTTTTTCTTTTCGGTTATTAATCATATGAATTTGGTGTGGTTATTTTGTGTGGTTTTTAACTGCGCTTTAGAGTTCAAACGGTTTTAAGAGTTTAAAATTATTACTTGTAATAATAAAAAAAACATATAATATAAGACAACTAACTTAAATTACAAACAACTAATATATTGAAAACGTCAAATCACTAATAATTAACAATAAATATCTTTAAATTGTCAAATTTCACAATTTTCCAAAGTTAAACATAACAGTGTTGTCTTCTAGAATTTTTATGTTTTTTTCATCCATGAAACTTATCTTATTTTTAATATTTAATTTATTAATAATTAATAAAAAAAATGTATATAATATATGCGGTTTTTAAAAACCAATAACCGCAACGCACCGTAAATTTACGGTTTTTGAAAAACAGAAAGGCTCACCATCGGTTTTTATTGCGGTTGCGGTTTATGCGGTTTTTACGGTTAATTTTAGTTGCGGTGCGGTTTTTGCTCACCCCTAGTTTTCTTATTACCTTTTATTTGCGATTTTTTTGTGTTAACCCTTACAAAAGTTTCCGTTACGCCACTCACGAGAAATAGCTTAGGTTGAATTCATTTTGCTACATATTTTGCGTATTCTCTTTACCTTTATATAACTATATATAAAACATATTATTAAAATTTTAGTTTTTTGAACAAAGAAATTTAGATAGTCCTAATCCCCCATATTTTGTCATATGGCCTTTTTAACAGTTTTTATATATTAAATTTAAGTTTTATAATTTTAACGATTATTCATAAAATATATTAACATAACAGATTCAGTAAACAAATAAAAATCTAAAAATTTATTGATTAATAGGAAAGACGTGGAAGATGGAAAGTGGGTTATCCGAAATACCTGAGGAACCGGCAGTACGACGAATATGTCGTACCAGAAGCCTTTAAGTGATCGCACATAATGCAATGCGATAGACTTCGGGTCCCACACCAGCTTCCCACAACCAACCACAAGCGACTCACGTGACACATAAGCCACCCGAAACTGTAACCATATGTGGACGACATGGAAGCAGTCAATCATTGTCCGCAGGACGGCCACGACCACCGCAAGACCGCCGTCCATGTAAAGACACGGCGTACCCCCACGGCCTATTGACAGCGAGTAGAAGAACAATGGGTCAACAGCCAACGCCATACCACGAGCAAGCAACACAAACCTATTCCACCTTTGTACACTTTTGCTCCTTGGATCATACACTCGCCTGAACGACAACCCTGAAGACGACAGTGGTCTCCGTTTTCCGGCGGAATATCGGTTCTTGATGATCTTGGAACCGGGTCTGTTGCGGATGGGGATGAGGGATGAGCCGGCGGAAGCTTCCCATTCCGGTTGTTGAGCTTGGTTGCAGCTAGTGGAGTGGAACACCGGAACACCTACTTGAGTGCATGCATAACATTCGGTTGTGAACGAAATTGGGTGACTTTCATCGTCCAGATCGTCACCATGGTTTAGTTTGCTTCTCTGGTCTAACATTCTGATGGGTGATCACTGATCTTCAAGCGTATTTCCACATCGTGGAGATATATGCGTTGGTGGGCAAATAAACTCACCAAAAAGATTTGATTGATGGGGACGATGATATGACCCAAAGCCTAGCGTTCTCGTGGTTTGTCTCGTGAATTTTTAGGGTTAGTTTTGTTATGGAGCAACGATCACAAAAGATGACACCGTTAAAAAACTATAAGTCTATAATCAGGTTGGATAAGTGGACACAAAAGGGACACCGAACTTGATGTTTTTTTTTCTGTAACTGTAAACCCACAAGGACTATGGTCATATATATAAAGCAAATAATAATGGTTTTGGTGCTATTGAATTTGCATTATTCAGGCTATTTGATGTACGAAATGTATCAATTTAATCATGTATATTGTCGGAGATGTCATTAGATACTTGAATTATTGTTATCAACAATAAGAGCGTCTTTTGGGCTTTTTTTTTTCTAAAGTTTCTTCAAACAAATACATTTAAAATTTGAAAAAAAAAAACTATTGGAGAAAGCTTTTTCAAAATAAAGTTTTATCAATGAGGTTGTCACATACTACGTAATATTATTTTATTAATTTTTTACTTATAATTTACATTGTGGAACCAATAAAAGAAGTTATTAGAAAAAAACTGATTTAATGTGGATATTTGTTAAGATTTTTAGTTCATAGATAAGACATTACCTTGTCACCAAAAAACTTTGTGAGAACTGCTCTTTTATGATAGATGATGCTCTTAGATATAAAAAAATGTCGAAAATAATATCGGATATAGAACTGAGTTAGTCACCCATTTGCATCATAAACTTAAAAGGAGAGAAGTTGACAAGTCAAGGACGAAATTTCACTTTTCTAATGTGTGACGTTTTCTCATATTATGAGTTTAAAATGTTGATTCGGGAAAAGGGAATGATATGTGTTGATTATAGATGTAAAAAAGTGTCACGATAAAAGAATGACACATCAAAAACAAATATGGAATAGAAAAAGAAACAAAAGAACATCTCAAACTTATGGTAAATGACAAGGTAGCAAGGCTGTTTTTTCACGGTCTCCACATATCTTCCTGTCCCACAATCATTTCTGGAAACGGAAATCGACATTATGGTTATCATGAGAAAAAAAAAAATCATATTATCCCTATTGGAAAATTTACATATACCAATAGCATTTTACAAATGAGTATGAAGTTTGTAGCTAGGCAAATTTGTTAAATACCAAAGAAATTAGTGACGTAGAATTGAAATATCAATTTGAACAATTGGCAACAGAATTTAAATGCTATTCAATTATCTTTAAGCAAAAAATTTCCAATTCTTATTTATCAATGAAATTGATTACTGTAATATTGTTTCAAATAAACGAGAATAAATTATACACATAAACACAATATTTAATATGGCTCACTCCACATAAATGAATATTCTTATTCTTGAGAATATTCTTATTCATAAACTTAGAAAAAGATTTTTAATACAGTTAGAACCCTAACTAGCAGTCTTCATTATATGGGCATAGTACACATCAAGAAACTCTAAAGATTGTCCAGCTACACATATCTATGAAGGTCCATACTGTGACGAGATAAGTGTTTGTTATGTATGGCTTGGGTATTTATCAAGTGGATGTTGGGTACGTATGGGGTTTTATTTATTTTGTTTGGACACATGTAATCAATTTTCAAGTCACACTTAAAGTTACCAACTTTCGATTTTGGGTCCCTAGATCAAGAATAAACTTTTCAGCATAAATAATTAGCATAAATAATTATAATGATAAAATAAAAAAAAAGCAAGGAAAATGTTGAGGAAAAAAAAAACAAAAATTAAGTAACAGTACAATCAACCCGAAGGGGTTGTTAACCCAAATTAACGGGTGACCTGTTGGGATACAACAAAACGAGTTAAGTACTTCAAACAAATCGATAAATGATTTCGGTGACACTAGCGGAATAAAACTACTGAAAAATTGCAAACGAAATTGAACACGATATTTAACGTGGTTCGGTCTAATCTGACCTACATCCACGGGCGAACGAGAGAGAGGGGATTTTATTAACACTAAAGAAAATTACAATCATACAAGGCTTAAACTGCACTTGTAATCTGATCACTCACAATATTGTATCACTCTAATTTTGGCTGCTAAATTTAGACTCTGCACAAAATATCTCACAATATTTTCTTTGGAATTTATCTGCTCAAAAGGCTTGTTATCTGCTCTTTGTTTTGAGCTTGTGAGATTATATTTCTGAATTGCCGAAGGACCTATTTATAGTTGGATATTAGTGCATGAATTCAATCTCCACCAATTAAATAATGCTCCACCAACAATTTGTAAATTCCACCATTCAATTTGTCTGCCAATTGAAGAAAGTAGCTCCATAGCTTGAAATAATTCCATCTGCACATGGAGAAAATGGAGTTGTGATAGTGATGCAATAATTTCCTTTTGCCACAAACAATTTAATATTGCTTTAGTGGACGTCCAATAATTTCCTTTTGCACCGTAACAAGTGGACGTTCAATAATTGAATATTAATTCAATTGTTAATTGCTAAGTTACATTTATGGCCCTTAAACTCTTAGGAACTTGTCAATTTGTTCATGACTCCATAAATCTTAACATGACCTTCCCTATGGCTATCAATCCAAAGAAGCATTAAATTGTAACTCATCAGCTAGATCAAAATATACATTACCAATTGTATTAACATTTGTAAAACTGAAGATATGTTGGTAATTATAATTTAATTAAAATCAGTTTTGTTCTTAAGGAGTGTACGTTTGCCGTACGTCGATGCGGATATAGATCTAGAATAAATTAGCATAGAAAATGGATGAAAATGGTAATTGTCCTAAACAACAAGAGTGATTTGTCCACAACATAACATTTTATGCTTAATGGATGAAAATGGTAATTGTCATACATAACATTTTATGCTTAATTAAGTTGTACAATACTACATTTTAAAACAAAAATTGTTGTGTATAGAGAAATTTTGCTGTGTATGAATCACCTCATTTATATAAATATATTCAATATCGAAACGAAAACTATAAGTAGCGTAAACTATACATAATATAGGGACGAAAAATATAACTATCATCTAATCTTCATAGAAGAATCCAATTGTCCACATGACACTCCACATATCGTTTTTCCTCAAATATGAATTTACTCTAATACCCTTCATTCCTTTTCATTTTCGGTTATTTTGCCCTTCAATTTATATATTTTATTTTGATTCTATTTTATTTAACAATTGATATGTTACTTATCTTTATTTTTGAACTTTTGGTTATAAATGGTTTAGTTTGGTAAGCTTTAAAATCACACTACTAACAAACCATGTATTAATTCATATTATATTAAACGTCTATATTGGATATTTAAATAAAAACATATTTTAATTTTAAATAATCAATATAATAGTCTAAACAAAATATAATAGTCTAAGGTCTAACAAAACTTATATCCTATTAGCTTAATAAAATTTTATAAATATTTTATCCATGATTTCCACGGGTTGTAACCTAGTAAATTAATAAAACCTAACCCTGCGACAATCGTTTAGAATGATCAAAAATCATTTAGTGAAATCATTATACCCACATTAGGTTAAAAGGTATGGTCACTATCAACCTACTAGAAAAGTGATATGAAACATCCTAAAAATACGGTCCAAAACTTTCATTTAAATCATTTAAGAAAACCCATTCATCAATATCATAATAAAATCACAAGTCATGTATTCCCAAAACATCATATCAAGATATTGTATCAAAACCATGTGTCAAAACATCAAAGTCTAAAACATCCCAGACTATAAACTATGGTGTGTGTCACGCAGTCACCCCGAGCTCTTCCCCTAGCTAGTGGAAGTACCTGAAACCAAAACTGAAAACTGTAAGCACGAAGCTTAGTTAGTCTCCCCAAACTACCACATACCATACACATAACATGCAACTAGGAGATACGGGCCCCACCCACTCTCATGGAGATTCGGGCCCCGCCCACACTCCGCTGTCTAGGAGATTCGGGCCCCGCCAACACTCCACTGTCTAGGAGATTCGGGCCCCGCCCACACTCCGTTGTCTAAGAGATTCGGGCCCCGCCCACACTCCGCTGTCTAGGAGATTCGGGGCCCACCTACATTCCACTGTCTAGGAGATTCGGGCCCCGCCCACACTCCGCTACTAACATGCATACAAGTATCACACAGACAACAAGTATATCTATTCCTATCAAGCAGTCACATATCTATACTCAAATAATACTATGAGTTTTAGGTCTCGCCCACACTCGGCTACTATGAGATTCGGGCCCCGCCCACATTCGGCTACTAACATATCATATATACGGGCCGGCCTTGGTGCCGTAGACCCGTTCCTACTGAATAAAACTCACGTCGCAAAGCTGACTGTTGAAATCTCAAGTGAGGAATCTCCGAAGGCTGCTCCCACGACTCCCCGGCTATTATTATCACAATAACACCTAGTCAAAACTTGATAATTCTCCTTAGGGTAAAATGACCATTTTACCCCTGGTCAAAGTCAACACTTTCGTCAAAGTCAACCTTCTGGTTGACCCAACTCGTCGAGTTGCTTCATCAACTCGTCGAGTCCTAGAACCTGAAATCGCGATCTAACTCATCCAGTGTCTCCCCGACTCGCCGAGTTCCCAGGCTACTCATAGTCGCGATCTACCGAATCAACTCGTCGAGTCCCTTCACTGACTCGTCGAGTTCTTCCTTAATCTAAAATGGGACAACGCAATCCAACTCGTCGAGTTCCTTTATGGACTCGATGAGTTCCTCTGTCTGTTTAGCCATCTTAACAGATTAAGCCTCTACTCTCCCAATCCAAGGTCCATACTTCCTCTACACACTGGAAATGCTCTTTTAACGGTAAAGTTTCCAACTTTACCCGCTAATAATCCTCCTTAGTGGGTTTAGCTAAAACCTTAGTTCATTAAGACATAGATCCTTGTCCACAAACCTTATTATTCCAACCCAAAGCATGAAAATCAAGATCTAGGCCCTAGACACCCAATGAACACGTAACGTCTTGAACTTTACTTCCATGCATGGCCTTTTGGGGCTTAAAAGGCCATAATAATGTCCTTAACGCTTGCATGGGGCTCCGATGGCATAAAGTTTGCACCTTTATGCCTTAATAACCCTTAATGGTTCCAGATATGGAAAGTAAGCCACTTGGGACGTCCAAATCCCAAGGTCCAAGCTTCTTGGACCAAAACCCTCAAAAAGTGAACATAATCAGATCTAATGAACAAATGATCAAGTTAGAGACTTGATTACCAGAAAGTGATGAGGATGGAAGGAAATCTCTGGATCTACTATCTTCTCCTTGAACCTTCTAGCTCCTTCTTTTTCTAGCTTCAAGAACACACAAAAATCACACAAGAATGGCTCACACACTCATAAACTGCTCTAGGGTTTCGAGGATTAGGGTTTGGGACTTGGAGGCTGGAAATGAGGCCAAAAGGTGGGGATTAAGATGCTTAAATATGGTGCAAAACCTCGAAGTTAGGGGTTTCCTTTAGGCAGACCTACTCGTCGAGTCGAGGCCTCTCAACTCGTCGAGTAGATAGCTTAAAACCCGCGTCCAAGACTCGTTTCTACTCGACGAGTATGGGGCTTCCAACTCGCCGAGTAACTCTATTAAAATGAATAATTTATGAATAAAAGCATACCAGAAACCACGCGTTAGTTTGAGTTCAGACACACCCGAGAGTGTGTCCGAATCCCTTAAACCAAGGCTCTGATACCAACTTGAAACATCCCATTAGTAAAAACCATAAATACCATCCATCATATAAAAGTCATAAACCATGTTTCTCAAAAATAATATAATATATGTCAATGTATCAAGATCATATGTCAAACATCAGAGTAAATCCTCCCAGGCTAAAAACTGTGGTGTGTGCCATGGAGTCATCCCGAGCTCTTCCCCTTGCTAGTGGAAGTACCTGAAACCAAAACTGAAAACTGTAAGCATGAAGCTTAGTGAGTCTCCCCAACTACCACGTACCATACACATATCACATAAACATATGTTGGGCCCTACCCCTGCTACATCGGGTCATCGCCCCGCCTCGGCTTTCCCGGCATCGGGCTCCGCTTGACATCGAACCCTATTCGGCATCGGGCCTCGCCCGACATCGAGCACATCTCGGAATACATGTGAGCATAATCAAATAATACACATAAACCTAAGCATATATCATTAACATTTAAACATTTCTTGGGCCCCGCCTGGCATCGGACCGTAATCCGGAAACATACTAACATTCCTCGGGACCACCCCAACATCGGACCGAAGTTCGGAAACATACAAGTACAAACACATCCAAGAATCACAAAGACATCAAGCATACAAAAATTCCTCGGGACCGCCCCGACATCGGATCGAAATCCAGAAAATCATATAAACCTACATCGGGCCCCGCCCGGTACCGGACCGTAGTCCGGTACTACTACTAACTAAACGGGCCGACCTTGGTGCCTTAGACCCGTTCCTACTGGAGGCAACTCACCTCGTATGCTAGCTATGAAATCTCGTGTGAGGAATCTATGATGGCTGCTCCAACGACTCCTTGGCTATTAATTTCAAAATAACACTTAGTAAAAATCTGATAATCCTTCTTAGGGTAAAATGACCATTTTACCCCTGGTCAAAGTCAAAGTCAAGGTCAACTCCCAGTCGACTCAACTCATCGAGTTACCTCCTAACTCGACGAGTTCCTATACTACTCAGACTCGTGATAAACCGAGTCAACTCGTCGAGTCCCTTCAAAGACTCGTCGAGCTCTACCTGATACAGAATCGGGACAAATCGACTCAACTTTTCGAGTCCCCATTTGGACTCGCCGAGTCCCCTGTCTGTTTGGGCTATCTTAATTGATTAAGCCCCTACACTTCAGATCCGAGCTTCATACTTCCCATAAACCCTGAAGATGTCCCTTTAAGGGTAAAGTTTCCAACTTTACCCGTTAATACCTCTTCTTAAAGGGTTTAGCTCAAACCATAATTCCTTGGGACCTAGACCTTGGTCCTTAAGCCATCCATACACTAAACTAAAACTTACAACCTCAGATCTAAACCCCTAACACTATTTGGACACGTAAAGTTCCCACCTTTCTCCACATGCATGGCCTTTTGGGGATAAAAAGGCCAATATGACACTCTATGGCTTGCATGGGGGCTCCAATGGC